ATAAAAAACAAAACCAAATAAAAACTTTGACATTAGTAGTTGCTCTGCTTAAAATATTCTTCCTTAAGCAGTATATCAGGGTGTATATGCCTCTAGCCACACCCTGAACATGAGCTAAGACAATATTCACACGTAATAAATCAACCTTAGACGATATGCTTTCTTCCAGTGTATTTCTGCACCTTTAGGTATGTCAACAACAACTGACGCTATCAGATTGTTCTCCCTGCAAGAAGTGAAGGTATTCGTAGTCCACCCAGCGTTCCAAACAGTGACTGTGTGCCTTATTATTAAAACAACACAACAACAGAAAAACATTAATAAATTTTCTCGAAACCTTTCAGACTAATTGCTTCCAAGATTTTTCTTTCAAATGTTACTTTGAAGTATACAATTTAAAATTTATCATGCATTTTCTGAGTTTTTGGGTCCTTTTTGCATACTATGGTAAAATATTTTAACGCTTTAAAACAAATAGACTTCGATTTTTTTTACTGCGGATTACATGACGAAACTACATCATAAAGTGTGTGCGTTCAGGTGTATGTGCGAGTGTCAGGGTGAGTATATGTGTGTGCGTGTCCAGGTGGGGATGTGTGAGTGCGAGAGGGTGTGTGAGGGTGAGGATGTATATATATGTGTGTGTGTTGTATGTGTGTGTGTGTGTGTGTGTGTGCGCGTGCGTGTGTGTGTGTGTGTGTACGGGTATTTGTAGGCTTAGAACAAACATATCGAACGGGAAGTGATATGACGGGTGAATATCACGTGACCCTATTGTCTGTGTTAACTACCAATCGCATTCAGCTTTGATTTACAGTGAGGTACGCCCACATTACCTTAGTGCGAAATCACCTATCGTTTTTCCATTATGGACGTCGTATGTTACATGCTTGCGCAAACAAGAAAATGCCATCATGTCAACATAACCCTTTTCTTAGGCTTACAACAACGGAACCAACAGCCAACCTACGAGCCTCAAATAAAACTTCCCAATAATTTTCACCAACCTACATCTTTTGAGCCCCTTTGTTACGAGCTTTACCATTTGACGACTTCTTGCACAATAACCGTGATAATGAGAACATGCCCTTGAATATCGAATAATCAACGTTAACACCATAGGTTGGGCATGTAATAGAGAGTATATTTTAAACTGAAATAAACGTAATCAACTGTGTAACAAAAGGCAGGGTGTATTCCATGTATGTGTACCGGCCGTTGTTTTGCCGATAAGCCGCAGCTCGAATTGAGTTGCTTGGAGGTACTGTAGGGGAAATTATAAGACAGGGAAAGTAAACAATTATGACATTTTGATTACTGACACCGTACATTTGAACACAGACAATGAACATTGCTGAAAACTCTCTACAAAATACGGCGTTTGAGACCACTCCGACCCAAACTCACTGCGAAATGTGACCTTTGAGAGAACCCCGACCCAGATTAGTGAAACAAAACCACTAAGATATAAATTATTCGCAGTTACTACTATAACGTTTGCGTATGAAATTTCATATATATATATAATCCTGGGAATTGGAAACATTTTTGTAATTAGTAAAAAGAACCCTTAAGATGGAGAGTTGATGTGATAATTAAGATTTTCCTTAACTCCAAAACGCAACAGAAAACATGCAACTTAAACGAATTACCGATTCGCCCAATTTAGTTTATTTTCCCTGGAAGTGTAGTTCGGTTCAATTTTATCTGAATGGATGAAATTGCCTAAACAATTGTCGAGGGATTCGTTGACATTAAGCACGTATCTCATAGTAATAAATGTGAGTATTTATATTTCCCGCGTAATATTTTACATGTAGAAACATTTATAGGATCGCTTTTAATCTCTAACTCTGCATTCAAAATATTCAGTACGCCGATTGCCATTTTGTTATCAATTAAAAACACAAGAACAGTCTGCAAACATTTTAAATTCTTATTTATACGTAGAATGCGTCTGATAATTTTAGAAGAACGTAATATACTTGTATACATGCTGAACAATGCTGCAACTCGAAACATCTAAAACGTGGCATGATGGTTACAGCAAACTTCGAGGATTAAACGTCTACGAGCATTTGCAATTTTGGTTAAAACATATTTAATTACTTCATCTTAATAAAAGGAACATATTTTGAAAAATTAGAAAACCTTTCTCCTAGAAATTACACGTATTGTTAAATCACATTTCGATTTGCCGTTAGTCCCTGTATAATTTCGCAATAATAATAATTGTTCATGAAAAAAAATCTTGATAAAAGCAAAGACATCAGGCTGGAGCTACGCTAAGTGACTGTCGGGCTATAATATATCACTGCAGACTGAGAACGGATGATCAAAGCATGACAAATAAAATCTTTACCAATATCCTTTTGATTTAACATAGTAACTTTAGTAATGTTGTAAGTATAATACAAAAGCAAATAAGAACCTTAAGCCTATTTCCCCCACACGAGGAGTTTTGTTTTATTAAATATCTATCAGATTATTGATATATTAACAATTGCCGAGTGTCCGGTTTGACGTTAAATTTCCACAGAAAGCGAGGGTACAAGGTGTGGAGGTTATCACGGTAACACGCATATGACAACAAATGTAAACAAGGGTTGATATCGTCGATAGTTACGGTGTGTATGTACAGGACTTAAGGACCATGTGAAGTCCTGCTCTTGATACACTAGTTCACCAAAATGTTAATTATTTGGCTATCTGGACTTATTTCTAACTCACATTTAAAACTCAAAGAAATAACACATCCTATGGCTTGGATATTGTAATGCTAAAAGTGATGTGATATTACATGATCCAGAGACAAGTTTTCATCTTGCAACATCACACAAATGCTGTAAATGAACATGTATGTTAAGTAAAATGACTATCACAAGTTTGTTTTTCATAATTATTTCAATCATTCTTTTTTGACTACTGTGTTTTATATTGATATCAGGTTTCGATGCTGATCTATGTTTTGTGTATAAATTCCTAGGTGTGTAATAAAGCATAGTCAGATTGAGTTTGAATTTAAGCTTCATGTGAGTGGAAGTTCAGATAACCTACAAAAGGTTCTTGTCCTAAACGAGAGACATTCTTATTCTTCGAAATTTTCATATCTGTCGTATAAATATCCAAAACCTGATCTGCATGTATTTGAAGGAAGCATTATCTTAATAGTCTTGTACTGAATGCCCCTGTGGAGTGGATGATTCAATGGTGTTCAATTCTTAAAATGTTCCACTAGCCCAGGGGCTAGTAAACCACTTTGTCTCACTAGCTCTGATCAAAACTATTAGCCCCATGTTTGGAAGTTTTCAATTAATGCTAAATGCTGTTTTTTTTTCTATAATTAACCGTTTTGTTTAAATACAATTAATCACACCTGTTGTTCAATGAAGCAATCAACATGTATACATGATATTGTTTGTCTAGTTTCTGTGTTTCGACCCCTATTCCACGACTCAAGATTCAATCGGTATATTAAATCGTGAAAATCACATTAGCATTGGTACCTATTTTAATGTTTTTTAATCCTTTTTACTTTTTATTTATTGTTGTCATTGAAAACTAAACGGCTTGTGTTCAATGAAGAAGCAGAGAAGACTGATTATGACAAGGAGTTTAAACCTCCTTCCATGAATAATCATTGGGTCAAGTTGCCAACTATTTATATGCCCATAATGCCACATGTTATCAGTGACGATAACTCACGATATATATATATATACAAAATTTAAATTACTTTGCAAATGACGCATTTACTCGATAACAACGCAACTTTATTGACTACAGGGCGCCTACTGCAGCCTATTGCGAGTGTATTGCTAGTTTCCGTATCCTATCGAAACAGATCTTATTTCAGACAAGATGTGAAAGGGGTAATCTGTTTAGATACCTTGTGGTCCTAAGATGAAAAGTTTCAATTTAGCGTACCCAGATTTTTTTTTATGACGTATCTTGAACTTTCATGGTCAGGTGCTTTTAAAAAATGGTACGGAGAGGTCATAGAGGTGAAATGTATTGAAACATGAAAACGATTTATTTCCAGAAACCAAGATTGGAAGGGTCCTTAGATAAAATATATAACATTTCCAGTAAAATCCTACTAATGTTCCTCGAATTAACTACTTTTTTTCCATGTAAATTTTCTTGATTTCTTTCCTTCAACCAATACAGCACAGGGCAAGGGTATTACTGAAGTAACAAACATGGATGAAAAACCGCCATGTTTGTTTAAATGAACAGTTTTATTGCTGACCCTTGTCAAATCGTCTCATTGCCCTTCTTAGTACAGCCATATTATAGTTTGAGCCTTATTCTGATAATGTCTACTCAAGAAGTGGAAATAATGGCATGTGACTAATTTTAACACTCTCTTCTAAACCATCTATCATAATGATATACTTTCCATTATACATATCAATTCAAGACTGTATTAACACCATCCTATCCTGAGCTCTCTTTCCAAAGAAAGTTGAATAACGGTACAAATTTATGGTAATGAATTATACTTAAGTTATTTCGTAAAATTACGTCCAAATCAAACGTACGCTAGACGAAATTGTTTAAATAATCCAACAATAATATATCGTGGTCAAGTTTTTGGAAAGATCCTCCAAAAGACTATTGGCATATCCATGAGAACCAACTATGTCTCTCTATTGGTTGATTTGTTTTTGCTTTCATACAAGGCTGAATTATCAAAAGTGCTCCAAAATATCTTTAGAGGTCGTTCGATGTCAACTTCCGTTATATCGGTGATGTCTTGTCACCGGCCGCCTACCGTGATCCCTTTCTACAACAAATTCAAATGTAAAATCATATCCACTTTACCAATAGATTTATGATAAGTCGTATATTTGTAGAATAAACACGTGATAGCCAAGGACAAAAGGAATGTACAATTAGTTGACTCACGTGTTGTTGATAGAGTTGCTATGGTAACAGATAAGCAAGCCCGGTATAAAAACGGGTCGGATTGCAAACCTGTGCAGTAGTAGTGGATACGGGTCCATAAATGCGGTATGTAAAACTTTTTGTTTAACAGTAACATATAGTTGATGTATCATTTTATTGAAAAGCAATGTTTTCAAACATTTTGAATAGGATACATTGTATGACAATGCTTTCGATTATCACATTTTTGTTGGTTAAAGAGAAATATTTTCATGAAGAAAGATACTATTCAAGAAAATGATTTGAAAAATATAAACACATGTTACCTTCCTGTGTTTCAGGCAAAGATGAAGGGAATTACCGTCCTTGTTTTCGTTACACTCATATCTGTGTCATGTGAGTATATATTTCAATAATTTATAAGTTTATTTGATGTTATTTTACTAACATGCCAATATACATGAATCCTGTAAGACATGTATAAAATGTCATCAATGCTACATTATTTTCTTTGATAAAGAAATGTTATATTTTAGTAGATTATAGTAATACATCATTGAAGTGATATCGATGCGTTTATTTTAGGAAATAAATACAACGAGCATAAACTTTGTAAAAAAAAAGATATTTACGTTATCTTTCGATGTATCACGGTGTATCAAAGCTAAATTACGTTTAACACTGTATATTGTTGTTGCATGCATTTATTTTTGTGTATACGTGGTTATACTTGCAATCGAATTTAGACGTCTTGATACTAAGCTCGTAAAAGGTCTAAATTAGATCACATTGTAAATAAGATTTAACTACAGAGCTTGAAGTGTAGATTTTTGTTGACATGAATGGTTGGTACGGTGACGTAAGTTTATTAATTGGCCACTTATGAGCTATGTGAAATTGTTAAAATTAGAATAAAAAAGCCAAAGCCGTTTTTATAAATAACATTACGATTTCCATCGAGTTTTAGTTAGATGATAAATATGGCACTTCAGTTGATTCTTTCAGAATATTATAGACATAAACAAACAAACAAATCGTCCTTCAATTTTGGTCGCAATAAACGTTATAATATGAAGTGTTGACCTCTTTGATTAAATAAATTCGTAAATTTTGAATATTTAACCCAAACAATCCGTTAACTGTGTAAGTCTTGACATGTGACACTATTCATACGAATTAAAACTTGACATGATCATTTAAATGTAAAATGCACCTGCAAGGTATCGTTTTTTTCAGATATTTTGAATCTTTGAATGCTTGTATTTGTCTGTTTTGAACTGATGATGTTAGAGTTTAAAAGCCAATAAACTTAATAATTCGCAGCTTATGTAAGGTCGATAATTTGTTAAGTAGACGGTACATAATTATTTCGTCTCGGACAGCTTGAAATCTTCATATATATCGCGTACAAGACGGAAATGATCGAATATGTTTACAATGGAAATAAATAAACAAAAGCAGACAAAAATATATTGTTTTTTTTTAAGAAAGATCGAATGTGCATATATTTAGAAAATCGTATTTCTAATACTGAAATGTAACAAAAATGATATGATTGCGGATATGGTTTTAACTTAAAAGTATCTACGCCCAGGAGATGTAAGGTCAATTATATTGCAATTGATAACCATTAAGGCGAATGAAATGTAATACCCGTAATAAGGAAAAAATATAAATCAATTGATATGATCACTTCTAATGGCGAAAATGAAATTACACACTCAGGTACGTTAAACCAGTTCTCACACCTATTATTGTTCGAAACCTATAATTAGAGAGATGGTTCGATTGGTATAGATTTGACGTAGATAAGGGATTTTTGTTTTGGGAGACAATTTTGTAAAAATGATACAGATTTTTAAAAATAAAATCGATTCAATATTGAAAAGTATCAAATATTTCAAATATACAATATATATGTATTAGGTTTTATAAAGGAATTAATTGAATACCAAAATGATTATTTCCTTAAAAATTGTCAAATTCTGGATCAGCAATTCCTGCGAATGATACATTTGTGACCCTGGTGGTAAACTTAATGTGGTGAAATGTATTTCCAGTGGTTTAAAAATCATCTATTTAAATAAGAGTAATTTAATCGAGCTTTATCCCATGGAATCTGAAAGGATGGACTTCCTTAACGTCATTTCAATAGCTACGGTCATATGACGACGATTTCCACAAAGATATGAGGTGTGTTTGTTTCTAGGAGGCTGCGACATGTTCGTGTAAGCCTCCTTGTCGCGGTGCGGAACTGAAGCGGAATTTCTATTGCTACTACATTGCGAAAGGCCCATAACAGGAGCCTACTCAGTCACGATATACTGACAATGGCAAATTAGTCCATGTACTTCCACAATACCGAGCATAAACCGATAAATTTGCCTACTGGATATGTCGCGGCCAAGGGATAAAACCCGATGGATACATTACTAGTTTATAAAGAAAAGAATGAATTCGATCCATATTTGAGCTGCCCCGTACGATTCACTCATTGGCGATATCATGTACAATCCGCACGTCCTACCTGATTATCGATTCAGAGAAGGTTCTAATTAAGAAGCACTCGTCGGTTTTTAATCACTCATGTAATGTAGATAGAATTTACTGATATTCAACGATAATTGATAACATTTTCTTGAATACTAACATGTGGTTTGTATGTGATATTTACTTCAGATGGAAGTTTTTGTAAACAAACACAAAAAGAAAATGATTCTTGTGGAGGTAATAGCAAATGTACAAATCCAAAATGCGGCGACCCAACACAAATAACAACTCCCGCAGCAGGAACCACAAAGGCAGCTACAGCAACAACACCAACACCAACAACACCAGGTAACATTATCTGATGAACAGAAATCTATCATGTTACTATGTATAATGAATGGAACTGCATCATTCATCTCTTTCGATCTTCTAAGACATGTCAATGTTGCTAAGGTCCGCAAATGTTAAGACCTAGAAGGCGACTGAGAGGAAGATCATTTTTTTTTTATTCTTTTTTATTCAGTGGGCGATATGGAGTTGTTTGATAACTGTTTGCATTACATGTTTTAATGTTCCATTGTTGTCTCTGTTTTCATTGGGGAGCACGCCATGCTGGGTGTTATTGATGAAAAAGAAAATGTGTCCCCTTTATGGACATATGGTCTTATTCTACTTTGACTTTTTCAGAGCTCTACAGATGAATGTTTCTTTTTTCCCCATATTTTGCCCTTGTTTCACCAAATTTAGGTTTGAGTGCAGATTCTGTTTATATAGTGTTATATTCCTTATATTCTCTAATGACCTTTTATGTGTGTTGACGGGGCGTTAAGAATGTAATAATAATAATAATCACACTATACCCTAGTTTTTCGGATCTGAATTTTGATAATACTGATATTCATTTGTTGTTTCTGTTAACACATGTAAGTGTGGTATTGGATATTTCCCATGCTTAAGAAAGCTATTTTGTGACCTAGGAATAAGAAGTAAAAATGAAACTGGAAGATTGTACAAATGACACACAAATGAATCGTACCCTTTGCTTTAACGTTATTGGAGGCTTATTTGGAAACTAAAATAATCGTCTGTGATGTTTGAGCACTGGTTTGTTCTAGAAACCAACGTGCAATACTGTGTGTTAATATTATACGTTTCTAAAAAGCAAATGCGATTTGTTTTAATCCTAATAATAACAAAGTAATGCTGGTGGTTAATTTTGATATTCATGTACTCGTATGGACATTTAAATCTCACCATTAATCCATTCTCATTCAATGTGAATTATCTTAAAAACGAGTTTTAGGTGAACAGTCAGACTACTAGGGTTTCATTTATGGTTTGGGTGTGCTAGTTAAAAACAAACAAAACCATACTCTACATTCAAAACAGATTTATTTGCAGTTACTGATTAATATAAATGGTCATTTTAGTAACACGTTTGTTTCAGTAGACAGGCAACCGATATTAAATTGTCTTTTTGTTAGGAAAGAGAACTTTCAAGTCGATCACATTCTTACCAAAAATGCAGTAGTTAGGGTTTTGTTGGTTACGTGATGTGATATTTACATATGTAGCACTTTCGCAACAAAGTAAATTTAATCTTACATAATTATTTAAACAATCAGACATAAGACATTTCGAAATGCGGAATAAAACACTGCAAACTTTTAAATACAAATATCTATGGGGATTTTAAAGACCTCCGAAGAGCCTTTGAACAATTTTCAAAACCCTCTTCTAAAATAATTTCTTCTAAAAAGGACATTTGATTTTTTTCTCTTTACACCACCATACCCCATTCATAAATGGAAAACTGGAAAAAATACGTTATGATTATCTAGTGTGAATTTCCATTGCTAGACACCAACATTCCATAAAACTGCAAAGGACTAGAACTGGACACCTACTCTTTGGTCAAATAGTATAATATGTCGTTTACATCTGATTGCCATCTTGTGTTGATGCCGTTCATGAAGATATTATGATGGTAGAAATAATTTGTATAAAGGTATACTTGCTCATTGAGAATGATACACTCTAGATAATCACTTTTTATAGCGTGATGTTTTAAATTTCTCTATAATGAGTTTTACAGTTCCAGATAACACCAACCATGCTTTCCGAACCCAGTGTTACACGTCGCAGTTGATTCGATATTCAAAGACATGTTCCCATTATCACAATTTCCGTGTAACAACTCATTAACTTACGGACAAACTTCAAACACGGTGTTTCAAAAAATGCAAGTCGATGAAAATTATTGGGAAGTTTTACGATCGTGACAGTGATCTCATTAAAAATATCATATTTGTTGTTGCGGTGCGCATTAACTTGTCTATTGGTTCCATTGTCGTATACCTTGTTGTCATTTTGTGAACGTGACATTACGTGCTTGCATTGACCAAATGTTTACGGGTGTCTTCGGTGAAGCATATCATTCTTCTAGAACACCTGGTCTTATTCTCTTTTTACTTTCTCAGAAGTCTTAATGTAAATCATATTTCTTTTTGTTCTCATTTGCCCTATTGAAGTTGATTTTGGATTATAATTATGTTGACATTTTGGTATTTTCTTGTGCATGTAGGTTTTTAATACTTTTGTTTCATGTAAGAGTAGAATAAGAACATTTTTACATTCTTCAACCGCAATACAATGTATTTTATAAGAAATTTTACCAGTATGTCTGTACTGTAAGTATATGTTATTTCAAAAATGGAACATGGTCACTTATTGTAGCAAAATTCTTATTTTTATTATATGCACTGTAGCTACTGGTCGGAAACGAAGAGCTAGTGGAAATGGTAAGAAGTCATTTATTGGATTTAATATGCAATGCGTACGATAAAAACTTGATACATGTAACGTTCACAGATCACAAGTCTAGACGACCTAATCTTATCAAATTTTCAAATGTTAATATCTACAAATCTGCAAATGGAATTGTAAATCAAATCGCTTGGCACGTCCGATTATGAAATCATTAAGATTACTATCTAAGACGGTATAAATATGAGTGTTAAACGTACATTTGTAAGCATTCGCAGTCGTTTTGATTTGTCAAGCATTGATTTATTTCAATTTCTGGAACCTGTAAACCGAGAAATAAAATGAATATTTGCGTGTGAAAAAGCAAACAAATGACTGCTTCATACAAATTTTGTTTTCATCTTCAGGAGCCAATTGTACGACTACATGTAAATCGCCCCAGGTTTGCCTATACCAATGCACAGGTATTTCAGTTGTGTAACCAACAATTCTTGTTCACTAAGACATGAATTTGAAATATATGAAATCATACACATATGGAAAACAATTATATTTAATGAAAAAAGTTATTAGATATTTTATATTCAATTGCATATGACTTTTGTTCAATGATAATTAATGTTTACTTTGTATTTTTTCAAGGCGAAAATAATCGAAAGAATCTTTTTTTTCATTGCGCCTTTTTAACCAGTATGCCATATTTTCCTTTGAATATGTAAGTTAAAGTACAACTACCGCTTTTTGATACGACTTCAATAGGACAAACCTTTTGACTAATGCTTTTTGTAGATAAAATCGGCTAAAAACGATATTGAAACGAAATTTCTCTTTTTTTCACACAGAGCAAAGCGGGTCTGTAAAGCATGGGCTGTCCTGTCTAGCCTTGGTAACTGGATTTCTTGTCAAAGTCCTTATCAACTGAGAATAGGGAGTACTAGAGAAACTTTTGTTATTCTGATTTAAACGCTTAATTGTGAATATGACGAATAACATTCACATGGTAAAACTATTTAAGCGATGACTCTTAAAAAGATGAGCTACAACATCTAAAAATTTTTTAGCGTTTGAACCATTGTGTAGAATTTCGACTTACTCTTCAACTTAATATCAATACATGAAGTGTTACCTATGTAAATGTGCGTACATTGCACATGGCGGTAACAACACGGACGAGCGTCCTTCATTGTTTCGATGTTTTGTTAGTTAAAAGTTGGTTTTGCTTTTATTTGTATTGATTTAGATATTGATTGTTAAACTAGTAATTAGGATGTCATTATCTTTTGCTGAATTGTTTCTTTTTATACCTTACGAAATATATATATTTCTATGAATTATTTTTGTTTTCGTTGTTTTTCTTGTTAAATGGACATTGTACAACAGACACACAAGTTAATATGAGCTTTCAATACAAATTTAGAATTATTGTTTTTAGTGTATGTTTATCTCGTAACTTGCTTGTTAGGTCATGTAATACTTTACAACATTACATTCGTAAGATAAATGAGTAACAACACTATTGAAACGTCATAGATAAATTCACTATTTTCATATTTGCACAGTAACGTTATAATGCTTAAATATGTAAGAAGGTTTTGAAGTGAAAAAATGAGAGCTGTTATCCATTAAGACTCTCTTTCTATTCTACTAAGTCTTAGCAATAGAAATATCGAAAATATTCTCATTCGTAATACTATATCATGAACTTGTCTTTAACTTTCGTATTGCTTTTTGCTGGGTTCCTAGGTACATAGGAATACCAGGCAATGAAAAAGCAGATCGTGCCGCAAAGGAAGCGTTATCGCTACCACCTGTTGATATTAAACTTCATTTTACCGATTTTCAACCATTTATTAAACAAATTTTAAAAGGCCAGTGGCAGGAGGAATGAAATACATATATCAATAACAAATTGCACTCCGTAAAACCTATTTTCGGTGAATGGTCTCCATGCTATAGAGACAACCACCGAGACGAAGTATATATTGAAATGCGACGATAATCCTCGTTATATAGAATGTGGTGATCCATTCACCGTTAGAGTTTATAATTTGACTGCATTGACCTTCTGTCTGCTCGAGAATTTTTTTTATTTTAACGTTACAAGTCTAAAGACCCTTTTTGAAACTGTTATATAATTTTGAAAGATGTTGGTCTATCTTATAGACTATGACTTAATATTGTAATCTTTTGTGATACTATAACCATTTATGATTTTTAGCGTTTGTCTTTTACATTTTAGTTTGTTTGATGTTATTCTTTTTTTGATCACTGTGTTTTACCAGTGGATGGCCCTAATGACTTTTTTATGTGTTGACGGGACATTAAGAATGGAATAATAATAAGAAGAAGAACATGTAATGTCTATATAGAAAGCCCATTATTATGTAGAAAATTTTAAAAGGTAACTATGAATGCTGCTGAATATAGTCAATGTGTTGTTAAATGACGAGGTAATAGTGCTTGGGAATTTGTGTCATTTAGTGTAGGGCTGCTTAGTTAATATCATTAAAGCACCATTTCAAATGCAACACTTTCTTTGAGAAAGATCTATCCAAAAATCATATGGAAATAGGAAACTTTAATTGTCAATATTAAAGATGGTTACCTATCGGCTATTTTGTTGTTTGATTGGTCACAAAATGGAACATGCACTTCTAGGTCCAATGCATAAAACTACGTCAAAACTGAAGAGCGATTAATCCTGCACTTGAGAAGTTGTTTTTATGTATGATTTGACCATGTATCTCAGTAACTCACAAACACTAAATTTATATGATGAAACGAAAGTTATCTCAAAATCATTTCAGACATGACGATTTGAGGGTATTCAAGTGGTAATTATATTGTTTTGCTATTTTTGTGCAGATTTGTTTGTAATTTTTCTTTTGTGTGTCTTTGTGGAGCATGTTTGCTATTAAAATACAAAGTATAATTGATAATATAATTTTTAAGGCCAGAATTAAGACAAGTTCACACATCCAAGTTGAACCGTCACATGATCAGCAACAAATATTGGTGGCAAATCAACTTCAACCTTACATAACACATATAAACACATATATAACTGGTATTTAACAGTATTTACATTCCATGATAATGAAAATGCATGTACATTGCATGTTTGATATACCAACTCGCACATTAGGTAATGATTTTGGAAACATTCCATTGTTGTCTCTATTAACAGCTACGCCAAATAGATTACATATTCGATTTTCAAACATGTGTCATTTAAGGAAATTATGCAAATGTCTCAATGCCAGTTTTGAATTATCAAAAAAGGAAAATCAAACAAAAATAATGTGTTGGAATATAATGTATATTCTATCAGTATATCGTTACACAAATTTTGTTTATACCTTTTGGAAGACAGGATGTTATTTCAAATCGAACGTTTGTGAGATTCAGGGAAACGAAAAACAGATGTAAAGTTATGCATTTTTGTAGCAGTTTTCTATCATTCGACGAAGTTACATATACTAAAAAAAAAGAAAGGTAACACTACTTTATTCTGTGATTAATTAATTAACCCCTTCATAAATCCTTACCAATAATGTACGAATAAAGTAATTGATCAATTCTGATAAAACTGCAGTCATGGTTCATTATAAAACTTTGCGTTCAGTTGATTTTATTCGACTGTAAAGGACGTTGGGGTCAATTTCAAAGGTAACACCATTATCAATGGGTATGGCCACCGTTTGCGAAGTAAACAGCATTGCAGCGTCGTCGCATGAAACTCATAAACCGGCGGATAATTCGAGGAGAGATGTTGTTCCATTCAGCGATCAAGGCTTGGGCGTCGCCCAAGAACGTCCCAAACATGTTCAATCGGTGACAAATCAGGTGATTTAGTTGGCCAATATAACACCTGTACGTTATTCTGCCGCAAGAAAGTTCTGCTGACACGACTGGTGTGCGCTGGTGCGTTATCCTGCTGAAAATGGCACCAACGCCATGGCGTCTTAAGAATGGCAGAACCACTGGTCTTAAAATTTCGTCCCGATATCGAATGCCGGTTCAATTGCCATTTAACACAACAAGCCTGGTACGAGTCCCCCCACAAATACCACCCGCCGCCAAAGCAGTCCCGTTCTTCCACGCAGCAGTTCGCAAAATGCTCCGCTCGTCGCCTCCACACTCTGCGCCTTCCGTCACCGTGTTGCAGACAAAACCTGGACTCATCTGAAAACAGAACATTGTTCCATTGTCGTAAGGCCCAACGACGGTGAACACGGGTCCAGTTACGCCGATTATTACGGTAACGTCGCAACAAATTAAGTCCAGTGTAGGGACGCCGCGCTTTCAATTGGTAGGCCCTCAACCTGTTGTGGACTGTTTTGGAAGACACACGACGCCCAAACAATGTCCTTGTAGTCTACTGCAGTTACGAATCGATTGCGCAAGTGTATCAATCGTATACGACGGTCATCCCTGGCGGTCGTTTTACGGGGTCAGATCGGATGTTGACCCAGTTTGGTTTAAACGACTTACCAACTGGCAAATTGTCTTAACACTGCAACCAAAATGCCGTGCAACTCGACGGCGAGACTTCCCAGCCTGGATCATGCCTACAGCCCTTTCTCTCTGTACTTGTGACAGCCGGGGCATATTGATAAAGTTGATAGATAGCAAGATTCGGTGATTGCTAAGTCCTAAGGATCTAAGGAACAGTTGTCAGTTTGAATGTTTATGAAATTCAAGCGAAGATACAACTTAGTCGCAGAAAACCTCGTGCAGCTCTTTCGCTAATACAGACTTTCACGCTTGAAAGATTTTGGTAACCTCCTTGGATTTTGTAATGTAAAACAACCATTTTCTAATATTGCACAGACGTCATTTTGTTTTCACTCATTTACAGGTATTCGCCAGGGAAACATGTTAACCTTTCTTTTTTTGTTGAGTATATATAATGATATGGGATATATTTTGCAAATGATATCAAGATATTTTTGAAACATGAACCGTCAATATCACTATTAATTGTAATTGATTACATAAAAACCAGTTTTTACTTTTTTTTAAAATACAGTTCAGATATTAATCCTTTTCTGGTGTAGGTTGTCATAATAGGTAACCATAAAGTTAATGAGGTATATGATGCTTTTATTGTAACAAGACATGAAATCATTGACATTTATAATGGTAACTGTGATGATCAATGACATTATGAACAAAAGAATACATACTGCAGCGGGTACCCATTTGTTTGCATTGATATTATATAGCAATATGTGCTTTAACATTGTTAAAGCGTCAAATTCCATTGAGCTTAACCCATTACTGTGATTGTAATTGTAATTTCCAGTTATCATTAGTTGTTTTTAATTAAATAAGCATAAAATTCAGTAGTCCGTTACTATGGTAATTATAGGAATACAAAGCTACACTCATGAAATGTATTTACTTAAAAAGCGAACTAATCTATTAGAACCAATATATCAAACAATATCGAGATAATACACAAGTTATCTTTAAAATAAGTACTATTAATCGATGTGTGCACCTTTCAACAACCTCTCAATGACCAAGGCATCAAGTCAAGATCATTTGCCTGAAGCAAAGTTGTCCTTGCCCGTCTTCGGATGGGTCATACATACATACATATGTTGAAAGACGAAGATAATCATTGGTGAAAAGGATGTGATGAGCCATTCACCGTAAAACATTTTTAGTGGACTGCATTGACAATCTGTCTACTCGAGAACGGTTTTATCGTAACATTAAATGTCTAAAATCCCTTTTTGAAACTGTTGAGCCATGTAAAATTCTGCATTACCTGAAATATGGTGGTCTATATAATAGACTGTGACGTAGCATTTTAATCTTTATATAAACATACCCATTTAAATTTTTAACATTTGTCTTTTACCTTTTGATTTGTTTAATGTTATTTACTTTTGGATCGCTGTGTGTTTTACCGTTTGATGGCCCTACTAACCTTTTATGTGTTGACGGGCCGTTAAGAATGTAATGATAATAATATTACACAACGAAACTATCAAACTTATTGACATCGGATATCGCATGTTTAAAGTTTTTAACATTAAGCTTTTTTTATTCACAAATACATCTTTTTCTAACCTTTTAACATCGCCTATTTGTACTCCGACTTGCACAACAGGTACTACTTGCAAATGGACATGTGGAAGTAAGTAAGTTTAGCTAAAGGAAACTATAGATAGAAATTCATGACCATAACTTGTTCTCAAAAAATTAAAGTGAAGTATATCACATGATTCCTATATATTAATTTCAATTTGCACTATTCAAACACTCAGACAGTTATAAATGACTTTATACACTTTTCTTTGATTAGATTGATGTGTAA